AAACTTTCATATTTGCATGCGTGGCATTCAAATTTTTAGTATAACATAATAAATACCACTTATTTTTTAAAAGTGAAATTCGCAATTTCATGCATAGATTTATGATGCTGAAGCGTTATTAATGTTTTTATAAAAAATTAGGTGATAGGTTTGTAAATACATAAGAATTATGTGGCATGTAAGTAAATTTCCCTTCTCTCTCTCTTTATATATATATGTTTATAATTTTTCCAAATAAAAGACCTGATTTTTAGTCGCTCATTTTTATTTTGATTGCCAGAAACCCAAGAACAATCAGGCCTGAAGCAATGGCTGCAGATGCTATGGAGAAAATGGAGTCGCCACCATCTGCTGTCCAGTTCTTGCCCGTTATTGACGATCAGAGTGCCGTCATCGGGATCGTAACACTGCATGGATTGGTTTCTGCTGGCCTCTAGAGATTTTTTCTTTTCATTTTTTCTCTTTTGCTGCCTTTATTCTGTCAGCGTCATGCATCTTCATTTGAATTTCTGTCGAGAAATTAAGAATGTTAGTCGTTTGTTGTGTGTTTATTTCTCATTTGGTTTGTTTTAATCTAGCAATTTTTTTTTAATGAAATTCTGAATTTAGTTAATATTATTAATCTTTTTAATACAATGACAATGTCTTTTATCGCACTAAGTGGGGGATGAATCAATTCTCGCTGTTGTGTCTTATTGGTGTTATATTTACATTTAACTCATCAATTAAGCTAACTTTTTATAGAAAATGCGCAAGTTTTTTTTTTTTTTTTTGGCCCTCTATCTTTTTTAACAATTGTGAAATCTAAAACTTCTAGTTTTTCAAGTCATCATATGATCGACGTTTAATGTGATCAAGCCTTAGATCAAGTCATTTAAGGCGACTCTATTCTTATTTGCCACTGGAGTTACTCCAACCCTTTCATGTATATAATTGTTCCACATTTTATTTAGAATTTTTGTTCCACGCTCCAAACCTTTCATGCCCGTTATTGATATTAGAGTGCCATCATGTCATCTGGATCGTAACACTACATGGATTGGTTTCTTTTACCAAATAAATTCAAGTCATTTAA